TCCGTCAGTTAAGCATCTGACTTCGGCTCAGGTCATGATCTCACGGTTCATGGGTTCAAGCCCCACATTGGGCTCTGTGCTGACAGCTCAGAGCCTGGAGCCTGCTTCAGATTCTGTGTCTCTTTCTCTCCCTGTCCCTCCCCTGCTTATGTTCTGTTTCTCTCTATCTCTCAAAAATAAATAAATGTTGAAAAAAAATGATAAAATAAGTGATCTTAGAGAAGTATATTCATGACGTAGAAAAATGTTCATAGTGTATTCATGATGTAGAAAAATGTTCATGAGACTTTGCTGAGTTCTTAAAAGGCAAATAAACAAAACAAAATGCACTGTATTTTGTCATTTTAAGAAAATTTACAGGAAAAGGGCCCCTGGGTGGTTCAGTTGGTTGACTTTAGCTCAGGTCATAATCTCGCAGTTGGCGAGTTCTACCCCCACATCAGGCTCACTGGTGTCAGAGGGAGCCTGCTTCAGATCCTCTGTCCCCTCACTCTCTTCCCCTCCCCTGCTTGCACTCTCTCAAAAATAAAAAAATAAAAAAAACACTGAAGAAAATTTATAGGAAAAAAATTATAGGGACATAGAAAAAAGTCTGGAATATGGTTTACCAAAATTTGGCAGCATTTCTCTGGTATCATTATGATATTTTCAATCTTCTTTCAATTTATCTATACATTCTGATTTTTTTTTTAAGTTTATTTTGAGAGAGAGAAAGAGAGCATGCGCTCATTTGCATGTGAGCAGGGGATGGGCAGAGAGAGGAGAGAGAGAATCCAAGCAGGCTTTGCACCCAACTAAGCCACCTAGGAGTCCCTATATCTTCTGATTTTTTTTTAAACAATGAACATGTATTATTATATGATTAATGGGGGGGGGGGGAAGCCAGATTGTGGTCTCTAAAGAGCATTCCCTACTAAAAGGAAACAAGTGTCCTCAGGGAAATGGCTGATGCTCTGCTGACTACAGAAAGCAAGGAAGATATCAAAGGGGCCAAGTGGATTTTGGAGCCCATCTAAAGAGGTTCCCACTGACCAGCGATAAGAGACTTCAATAAGTGGACTCCAGTAAATGTGGGCTACAATAAGAATAATCACAGCAAAGGATTGAAACTCATCAAGTATGCTAAATTTATGCATTATAAATGACAATTTAAAAAGAATTCTCTTACCTGGCTCTATAGTGCAATGGATAGTGCATTGGACTTCTAAAAAGAATTCTCATTAAGGGAGGTTAGGGATTTAGTATTCTGAAAACTGATAAAGGAAAGAAAATTTTAATCTGGTTTTTCTATATAAATTGTCCCTGAGGGTAACCTTATTTGGTGAAGGGAAGTTTCTCTTTATAGAAGTATTCTAGCAAATAAAATGAAGAAGTAATGATAGAATATCACCACTTGGCAAACACTTAATGAAACAACAGATTTAGGTAGTGATCATTAATGGCAACTAACACTGCAAAAAAAGAAAGACACTCCAACATGATGCCACCACGTGGAAGTACACAGCACCCCCTTTTTTTGCCCAGAAATCCAATTTGTATCAGAGACCCCTTGATCTAACCACCAGGTCACGGGAAGTACAGGGGATAGAGGAACATGGTAGATTGTCATCAGCCAATGCAATCAGCCAAATACAGAATGTGGGAAATTATACAGGACAAATCATCCAATTCTTCAAAAAGATGGGGTGCCTGGGTGGTTCAGTTGGTTCAGCGTCCCAACTCTTGATTTCAGCTCAGGTCATGATCTCACGGTTCATGGGTTCGAGCCCTAATTTGGGCTCTGCACTGACAGAATGGAGCCTGCTTGCTCTCCCTCTCTCTCTCCTTCTCTCGCTCTCTCTCTCTCTCCCTCCCTCCCTCTCTTTCCCTTCCCCCCCCAAAATAAATAAATAAACTTAAAAAAAAGAAGGAAAAAAACTTATGAAAAAAGGAAACTCAAGACACATTTCCACCAAATGCAATGTGTGAACGTTTGAACCTTGATCCAAACAAACTCAATGTAAGATACCATTCAGGAGACCATCAGGAAATTTGTGCACTTACTGGATATTTGATATTAAAGAACTGTAGACAATTTATTTAAATATTGTGATAATACTGTGATTATGTTTTTACTTCTAAAGGTACATATGAAAATGTTTACAAATAAAATATGTCCAGAATATCCTTCAAAATAATCCAATAGGGGCAAGCGGAAGTGGCCAAGAGTATATTTGACATGAAGTTAGCCATGAGTTGATCATTGTTGAATTTAAATTATAAGTGCATAGAGCTTCATTACACTAGTCTCTCTACTTTTGGAAACATTTGAAATTTTCTGTAATAAAACAATTAAAAGAAAAAATAATGAAACCTGCACCTATCTCCCCTGTAAAGAGTGTGTAAAGAGTGTGGTGGGGGTGAGGCCTGTCAGCTTTTCTTCTTGGGACAATAGAGAAGGGGAAATTAAAGAGGCTGAATGGCACTTGGCAGCTAGTCTAGGGGACAAAGGCCCTAATGGTTTAAGCCAGTGGTGGCAGCTTTGGAACCAGCTCAGGCCCGTAGCTGGTAATGAAAAACTGAAAACCAAGAAGCTAGGGTGAGCCTCAGGGCTTAAGAGCCGCAAGGCCTGTTCCTGTTAGCCTGTTGAACTTCTCTGAGCAACAAACCTGTACTCAGTCATGAGTCCCTTAAATCTGAAACAGTAAAAAGGAGCTATTTTGCTCATTTAACAAACATGGATTACACGCATAACTGTGCTTGCTGAGGTAGGTAGGTAGGTAGGTAGGTACTGTGCTCGCTGTCATGAAAACAGCAGACACAATCCTTGCCTTTATGATCTAAGAAGGCTAAAAACCTGTATTTGGAAAGCAGTATTGCTGTTATAACATTAACATATAAGCATAGCATACCTAAGCAACATGGAAACTAAGAGGAGCACCCAAGTTTGTCTTTAGGAACCAAAGAAGGTTTCACAGAAGAAATAGCTTTTGAGATAAAACTTGAAGACTAAGTTGGTGTTTGCCAGGACAAAAGCCAGGAGCAGGAGGATTTCAGAAAGAAGGAAACGAATTTGCGAGACATAATGTGAAACTACAAAGGCAGATTCTGGGAACTACAACTATTTGTTTTGCTAGACCATAATGTGTGTGTCTGAGGAAATGTTCTCTAGCCTGCTTGCTCTTCTAGGCCTGGGACAAGGGGAAGGCCTTAAGCCTTCCTTTAAGCCTTTAAAACTAGTTTTCTGATGGGAAAGGGACAGGAGATCTAACTTCAAGGAAAGCTATGGGTTATGGGTCAGGCTGTATTTTACAGCAGTTTTAAAATGGAGTCCAAATGGGGTGCCTGGATGGCCCAGTCAGTTAAGTGTCCGACTTCAGCTCAGGTCATATCTCACCATTTGTGGGCTGGAGCCCCTCATGGGGCTCTGTGCTGACAGCTCAGAGCCTGGAGCCTGCTTGGGATTTTGTGTCTCCCTCTCTCTTTGCCCCTCCCCTGCTCATGTTTGTCTCTCTCTCTCTCCTTAAAAAATAAATAAACATCAAAAAAAAATTTTTTTTAAACCTCCCCAAAAGAAAAGCCCAGATGTTTTTATGGGGCTTTATTAATAATACATAAATAAATCAATAATAAAATTCAGTCTAAGTAAAATAAGTCAGAAAAAGATACGTATCATATGATATCACTCCTTTGGAATTTAAGAAACAAAACAGATGAACACAGGGGATGAGAATGAAAAATAAAACAAGATAAAAACGGGGGCAAACCATAAGAGATTCTTAAATATGGAGAAAGAGGGGAGGTGAGAGGAGGGATGGGCTAAATGGATGAGGGGCATTAAGGAGGGTACTTGTTGGGATGAGCACTGGGTTCTACTCCTAAAACCAATACTACACTGTATGTTAACTAACTTGAATTTAAATAAATACGTTCTTAAAAAATACAGCCCAAGAGAGGCTAATAATAAAAAGGAGAAAGTGAGAAGGTTTAAGGCACAACAAAAACCCTGCTATGAGTGGCAACAGCCTACTTCCTTCAATTATAGATCCTTGTAGAAGGAGGAAGATGAGTCAGTCAGAAATTAATGTTCTAAACTTTTCCTGCAGCAATAAGGCTTTGTATCCACGGCAGTTTTAAATGGACTATCGCCCAGTATTTCTTTCCAAATACTTATTTATTTACTGCTATACAATTTAAGTGCTCATCTAAATAGGTAGTTAGATGCACTTATTTCAAAACTGCAGATTGCACATAAAATACCATAATAGAAAAGGCTGTTGTGAGCACAATGCTTGAGAGAACCTACAGGGTATCAATTAGCATTAAATAATTGGCCACCAAACGTATCTGGAAAATATGTGCAGCTTGGTTCTAGACAAGTAAGGCCTCCGCCAAGTGCCTTCCACGGAAATTCATTCATTCATTCATTCATTCATTCATTCATAATGTTTATTTATTTTTGAGAGAGACAGAGACAGAATGCGAGTGGGTTAGGGGCAGACAGAGAGGATGACAGAATCCGAAGCAGGCTCCAGGGTCCGAGCTGTCAGCACAGAGCCGCACGCAGGGCTCGAACCCACGAGCTGGAGATCATGACCTGAGCCGAAGTCGGAGGCTCAACCGACTGAGCCACCCAGGCGCCCCTCCACTGTAAATTCTTCATAAACATTCGCTGGACGACTCTACACAACCGCGCTCCCATGTCCCCCCGGGCCCGCACGCCGAGGAGCTTCCCGTTTCTCCGACGGCTACTTCCCCTGGCTTCGGGGGCCCTCGAGGTCCTGTTACACAAGCTCGGCGTCTGGCCAGCGGGCCCCCAGTGGCGCAAGCCGGCGAGTGGGTTGCCAGCACCCGTCCCGGCGTCACTGGACCGCCTAACTGCCAGAACCAGACAAGCTCAAGGCACTGAGAGGGTCTGACTCAAGCCAGCACGCGCTGCTCCCCCGCCGGGGGAGGGCTCCCCGGCGGGGAGGGGCCAGGAAAAGCCCCGCCCCACGCCCCGTTCCGCCAGGTGCGCGTGCGCCGCGGCCCCGCCCGCCCCCCGGCCTGGTTCTGCGCTGCTCGGCAGAGAGCGTCTTTTCCTCGCTCTCTGGCGGCTTGCACGCGCCCTCCTTCCGGACCTCGGGAGTCGCGCAGCTCCCGGCCCGGTCTCCTCCCCGACTGCCTGGCTGCTGGGCCATGGCGTGGCGGCGGCGGCCCGAGGCCGGCGTCGGGGTCCGCGGCGCGCTGGCGCTGCTGGCGCTGGCTGTGTGCGCGCCCGGGGCCCGGGGGCGGGCATTCGAGTGGTATTCGGCCGTGGTGAGCACCGAGTACGTCGACCCGTACACGAACCGCACCGTATGGAGCGTCTCGGAGAGCGGCCGCTTCGGCGACAGCTCGCCCAAGGAGGGCGCGCAGGGCCTGGTGGGCGTCCCGCGCGCGGCGGATCGCGACCCCGAGGGCTGCGCGCCAGATACCCGCTTCCTCGTGCCCGCGCCCGTCGGCCGTGGAGCCGCGCCCTGGGTCGCCCTGGTGGCGCGCGGTGGCTGCACCTTCAAGGACAAGGTGCTGGTGGCTGCACGGAGGAACGCCTCGGCCGTGGTCCTCTACAACGAGGAGAGCCACGGGAACCTCACCGTGCCCATGTCCCACGCGGGTAAGCCGAGGTCGGGGGGGCGCGGGGAAGTGGCGGGGGGAACTCTGCAGCCTAGTCATGGTCCGCGGCCCTCTCGTCCTCGGCCTTGACCCCCGCCTCCCAGGTGCAAGCAGCGAAGGGGCCGGGAGCGCGACTCTGATGGCCTCTGGCCGTTGAGAACTACGGGGGAGGCTCTAGGTTTGCGCCCTGTGACCCCCCGCCCTTCCCCCGGGACGCTGTAGGAAGTTAGACGGGCCTCCAGACAAAATCAGATTTTCGCCTTGGGCCCTTCAAGTGAAGGGAGGTGCCATCTGGAGGAGGGCAGTGGGGAGAGAGAAGGAAATTAAAACCCACCGAAAGAGGATTGTGGTGGAAGGTCTCATGATTGCTAATCATGGGTCCCTTTCCATTCTTCGTTACCCAGAGTCAGGTGGGGTGAGAATTGAAGCTCTTTCCTAGCGCGCTCCAAGGTCTGGCAGCCCCTTCACCAACGTAAAGTGGTGATTGGTGGCACTCTGTTTTCTCCACTTTAATAAAGCGTGTCCGAATATTCTAAACTTTCGAATCAGAAAATCTGGATTTAAGTTCAGGTATGCTTTCTCGCTCTCTACATTAAGGTTAATACTGGCGCGACTGCCAGTTAGGTTCCTTGAGTCTTGAGTTCAGATGAAATTTTTCAAGTTGTGTACATTCAGTAAAAGGTCTTGCTCTTTGCCAGGCAGTACTTCCCACACACCTATTCCCCTCAACAGGTTCTATCTTCAAGCAGTGATGACAGTTTAAAAGTCTTATTTTGCAAGAAGACATCCTCAGAACTGAATTCCGAGTCCCATAGGAGCAGTACACAGCAGAGTGGACATATTTCTGTTATGACTTCTAAGATCGTGACTCTTGACTTACTGTGATTAAAGTCTTTTTTAAAGTTGCTGCTGTTGCAAGTCAGACATCCTTTTTCCTGTACTTTTGTTTTTCATTCTGCTTTGATTTTTTTTTTTAATGTTTTATTTTATATTTGAGAGAGACAGCGAGCAGGGGAGGGGCAGAGAGACAGAGACAGAATCTGAATCAGGCTCCAGGCTCTGAGCTGTTAGCACAGGGCTTAAACTCAGGAGCAGTTGAGATCATGACCTGAACCAAAGTCAGCCTCTTAACTGACTGAGCCACCCAGGCGCCCCTTTGTTTTGATTTCTTAAAGACAAGTTAGAACTTAACTAGAATGAGGACAGAAAAGTGACTTTGGATTTGGCCTATTTTAGCAGTGATGGGAATGGAAATCAGTTGAGAGGTGAGAAAATGGAAACTGTTAGAACAACTCTTCCAAGAAGTTTGACTGGGACGGCTCAGGAAGTGCTGAGAAATGGGCAGAAACTATAGGGCAAGTGAGGGTAGGGTGAACAATGGTAAGCCATGTTTGATATTGGATGGAAGTGATGTATCCAGGATAGAGAAGAGGTAACCACTCATGTGGTGGCAATGGGTGAGGCACCACCTTTGGTGCAATTATTACAGTGATTACAAGTCTACCTAATTGTTGTACCCAAGTCATGTTTCCATAAGACTACCATGAAAAGCCCTATCAGACTTCACAGAGCATTCCTGATACATCCTATTGATGGTTTTTCCCAATTTTAGTAGTTCTGTCAAAAAGGTTAGTGTGTCAGGATTCTGATTCTGGGTCCTTGCAATCTCTTTTGAGTCTACAACATCTTCATTTGGACCTTTCCTTCCTTCCTTCCTTCCTTCCTTCCTTCCTTCCTTCCTTCCTTC